ACAGGTTAAGAACCAGCAATTTTCTAAAAATCAAATGTAAAAATAGGAAAGGGATATTAAATAATGGAGGTGGGATTTGAACTCAGGCCTGTCTGACTGGATTGCCCCACTGGAGTTAAGAATAGCTTAGCTTAAACAAGCAATGCGGGTGTTGGCCTATCACCACCAGCAGTACTGTGCTAAGTTCTGATTGGTTGATTAGCTTGTTGTCTGATCAGTTGTCAGTGATGTATATTGCATAATTGCAGGTTCTAGCAACCATTTTTTTGCACTTAAGTAATATTTGCATTGTCCATTGTCCAGTACCTAAAAGCCTTTGTTTTAAGTAAATATTTGACAATGTCCAACTGAAGAGATTCTATACATGAAATGCCCAACATATAATGTCTACTCCTTTAAAAGCCTGATGAAATGTGGCTTTGGCATGATTCTATGGTATAGTTTAGTTTATATAACCAGAACTTGTGTGACAAATAGGTAACAGACTCACCTTGTAATGACTAAGTATTCTGAAATCTTTAATTAGGTAGAAAGAAGTTTTATTGCAACCTAGCTCCAAGTGTGTGGTCTGGCAAGGCCCTTTGCATATGTGAGGTCCAGGGCACTGGGCCATGGCTTCTTAACCCTTTATGATTCTTGCTGTCTTCTGCTAAACATAAAAATCTCATGTGCCAACCGAACCCCACATTTGGAATAGGCCTCTCAGGAGGGGCATAGTCTATCTTCTGATGATCTTCACCAGTTCAGAAGCTTAGTTTCTATGCTTTACATGCTCAAAAGAGTAATGTTGTTCCCCAAGTAGGAAATTATTTAAAACTGAACATGCCTTTTCAAACTAATACCTTCTCCCATCCTAAAAGGGTCATTCTTCACTTTGGAAGATTGCTACCGCAAAGCCAATTCTGTTCCTAACTTTCTTAACTCTCTCCTCCATTTCTCTACCCTCCAAACACCTAGCATCATATTAAGCATATGTCATGTGCTAATAAACACTACAAAATGTGATCTGGCTGTTTTAAAGTCTAACCTGAGGCTTGCGAATAACGACAAGAAAGTCGTTTGACCTGCTTCACTAAGTCTGGGCAAAAATATGGTTACACGCTTTTATTTCTTCAGTTAGTTTTTCGAGTCCCCCGACTTCTCTATCAGAAAATCATGTATCTCCTTTTTGAGGTTTCTCCATCCCTATTGCCTAAAAATCCTAAGGGTTTCCTTAGCTCACAGGGAGCCAAAAAGGTAACTGAGTTTGAGGGATCTACCACTGCTGTTGCTTTTTGCTGTCACTTGGTGTCACCTTGAAGACAGGTGCAATGCAGTTCAGTGAAGATAATATCCACCTCACAGAGTTGTAGAAATTAAGTGAGCAAATACATTTAAAGTGGTTAGCATATCGATGGATACATGGCACTAAGCAGGTACTCAAAGATTTAGCTCTTATGTTATGTTTTCTGTAGGGTCTAGACCAGAGGATCCCTGGAAGACTCTCGGCTTTGCAAATGGTGAAGTTAGCTCAGTCCCTGCCCCTCCCAGAAGCCTCTATCTTACTCACATTGTCCTGAAGTTGATCTGCCTCTAGTATATGGAAGAGGCAGAATCTAAGGAACAGAGAAGTTTTTATAAAGCAAATGATTTGTTCTGGCTCAGAGAAGGAGTTTTTTTATTATTATTATTATTGTAATCTGAGGTTTTTGGACTGAAAATATATTGTCTCAGGTCACAGGGCTGGTTGGTAGTAGCTGGGCCTTAACTAAAGTCTTCCTTAATGTAGAGCTTGATCAACTCAAGAAGTATCCTGCTGTGCTTTAGAAAGCAATGCTCTGAAGAGCAAGGCTGTGGCTCATTTATTTTTACGTAATTCCTATTCTGAGCACATTACATTGTACATAACAAGAAATAGCCCTTCTCCATATCAACTGCTGTTAAAGATAGTCACCTGTGCACACGTGCAAACCCAAGCACATTCACACACTTAGGAATCCTCTCTGCCTTCCATCTCTTTTGTTCTCCTCCTTCCCTACTTTTAGGTCATAATAATTAAGAACAAAATGCACAGTGCATAGAAACCTTTTCTTCCCCTTTGAGTAACTATTGTTGCTTTACAACTTTCCCTATCTCTGTTTTAATTACCAGATTTCACACTCTCAGGAATACACTGTTCTTAGAAAATGGCAACACCTTATTTCCTCTTTAATAAACTTTGTGACTAGCACATAAAAGATCTCCAAATAGTAATTTATTTTAGGTCATGTGAAAAAGGTTCATTGTCCATATATATTAAAAAGTAATGAATAATTAATATAAGCTAATTCTGCTTGCCAATCCATTTACCCATTTGGATTGTGTGCTAGAAGTCCATTCATAAGTCAATTTGTGGCCAGGCATGGTGGTATGTGCCTGTAGTCCCAGCTACTTGGGAGGCTGAGGCAGGAGAATTGCTTGAACCCAGAAGATGGAGGTTGCAGTGAGCCGAGATCGCACCATTGGCCTCCAACCAGGGAAACAGAGTGAGACTCTGTCTCAAAAAAATAAATAAATAAAAAATAAAAATAAGTCAACTTGGGTAACTATATTATCTATATTAACTATAGATAATAGTTAAATAACTATATTATTATTAGATAACTATATTATCCATTCTATGGGAAACTATATTATCCATTATTATTCATATTATGTATAATAGTGATAATAATAACAGTAATAACAGCTATAGTTTATTGAGTACCAGGGATGTTACACATATTATCTCTGCTTTTCACAACAGCCTTGTAAGACGAATAGCCCATTTTACAGATGAAACTGAGGTTCAAATAAGTTAAGGAACTTGCTTTTAAGCACACAAAGTCAAAAGTATTTCTTGCCTGAAGTATAGCTTCTCCTGAAGTGGTAGTGGTGGGCCACTCATGACTTTCCTTACTACATCTGTTGGGCCCCAGGGTGGGTGCCTGACCCAATGCCAACCAATCCTGGTTATGGCCTGATTTGAAAAGATGAACTTGGTCAATCAGATTCTCCCTTAGGAATTTGAATTGGGAAACATGGAAAGAGGCAATAAGTTGGTAGAAGCAGGAGCTAGGGCTGAAGGGCACAATGGAAAGTTGTTAAAGGAGTGTTGTAAAGGGAGACTGAGGAGGCCATGATGGGCTGGCCATAGCAGAGCTGAAGCTGTGGAGCAGTGGAAGGCAGGCAGTGGCTTTAATGTCATGGAAGGAAATATAGTCAATGAGGGTGGGAAAGAAAGGATCACGTGTACAGAGCAGCCAAGTTGGTGCAGAGCACTCTGACACTCTGGGGCCATGTTCTGCCCCTTTCTTCCTTTTCCACAGTTTCTGTTCCAGGGTAGTCTTAAAAGAAATCCTCCATCCTTTGAGCTAATGTTAGTGAATGTCAGTTTCTTTCAACCAGAAGAGCCAAATTCAAATACATGGCCAGTAAGTGCTGGAGAGGGGATCTGAACCCCGGTTTTGTGGCTACAGAATTTCTGTTCTTGTCACTGCGCCTCTTTGCCACATTACAAATGCCACTGTGGTTTATCATAGCCTACAAGGTCACCATAATGTATCTGAAAAAGAACCAATAGTGAACCCAAGTTTCCTAAATCCTTGTCCCAAGTCTTGGTTTTCTTCCAAAGCCCTGAAGGAGAAAGTGAGGGCTAAGAAAATCTCATAACTGGGAGGTCTCCAGACAACATCGAGCTCCTAGGGTGGAAGGGACTGCAATGAGGAGAGGGAAGGGGATGGGGAAGGCTCGGTTCTCGTCGGTGCAGAGAATGGGGGCTCCCCAAGGGCAGAGATTATTGGTCTTATCCCTGCTTCTATCCCCAGATTCCAACATAGTGCCTGCAACATATTTGAATGAGTGAGCGAATGGATAAATAAGTGGCAGAAGTGAGTCACAGCCCCTGTCCAAATGTATGGATCATTCTTCAGTCTAGTGTCCCTAAGTTAAGAAACACATCTTAAACTGTCTCCATCTCTAACAAACAATTCATGTAGTGCTGTGAATAACGTTTACAGTGACTAATCAACTTAAGGTCTAACAATCACAAAGATGAAGTATTGGTGACTGTATTCATGGCACAGTTCAAAGACTACAAATGGGCAACTCTGGATTGCATTTGCCTTGTTTACAAAAACACCACTTGCTTTGTCTTCATCTATCTGAAGAGAGTGACGTTTTCATTTTAAGAGGCTGACTAAAAAATGCAAGGCCACTTCCTGGGCAGGTTTCCAAGTGACTACAGCTTTCTCACAGCATTCCCCAGAGCCTCAGCCCAAGCTGCCTGGGGCGGGGCCTCTAGCCGCTGGTCTCTGTTGAAGCTACCACAGGAGAAGTCATCTGCAGCCTGCCCGAATTGCTGTGCTTTTAGACCTTCCAAAGGCACAGATAACAGCTTTGGCCTTTGCATCGAAAGAGACATCAGAGTTTGTCATTGGCCAAGCTGGTGTGTGTGTGAAATATAGGTGATGTCACGCCACACTTCTGAGTATGGCATTCTTTCCAGCCGAGTCTCCTGGGTGTGGGTGAGTGTAAATGTTTGAAGACTGCCCTCGTTGGTTATGAAATGTTTGAAGCTGGGTGTTGTGACTTTCCAAGGTCATGACTTGGCATATTTCTTAACCCTAATGAGCCTCAGTTTCCTTTTTGTGAAGTAGAGATAGTATTATCCTATACTCTAGAAGTATAGAAGTATCTATTCATCACAGGGGGCTGTGAAGCCTAAAAGAGATAACACCAGAGTATCTCATCTGGTACCTGGCATAGCATAGACACTGAAGAGCTTTTATTATTTCTGAAGCATCAGTAGAAAACAAACAAAAACGTTTCAGTGATGATGCCCTATTTTTATTTCTAACAGTACAGTATTTCTCTGAAAGACTCAGTGGATATATTTGACTTCTTAATCATACCTGTGTAGCCAACAGAAACAAAACTTCAGAGGAAGTTAGTGCCAAAGGAAGTTTGTTAGACTGTATTCCCTTTCTTTTTCTCCCTTCTAGACCCTGACGGCACCTGCTCCATTTGCTGATGAAACCAACTGCCAGTGCCAAGCACCCCATGAAAAACTGACCATTGCTCAGGCCCGCTTAGGAACACCAGGTGAGGCTGTACTCCTTTTTCTCAAATGGGCCCTGGCTTGACATTTAAAGTATCAGAAACGGGCTGGGCACAGTGGCTCACGCCTGTAATCCCAGCACTTTGGGAGGCTGAGGTGGGCGGATCACCTTGAGGTCAGGAGTTTGAGACCAGCCTGGCCAACATGGGGAAACCCCATCTCTACTAAAATACAAAAATTAGCCAGGCATGGTGGGGCATGCCTGTAGTACCAGCTACTCACTTTGGGAGGCTGAGGTGGGAGGACTGCTTGAACCCAGGAGGTAGAGGTTGCAGTAAGCCAAGATTGTGCCACTGCATTCCAGACTGGGTGACAGAGCAAGACTCCGTTTAAAAAAAAAAAAAAAAGTATCAGAAAGGCCCAACATTATTTGTACAGCACTTGCTTTCAATCAGAGAGTTGACTTTAGAGGTTATAACACAGTGAAAGAAGGGTAAACACTAGTAGTGATAAACCACACCAACCACAGGAGCCAAGAAAAAAAAACATGCCTCCAAATACGGGGAGTTTGAGCCTCAGCTTTGTCACCTGTTAGTTCTACAACCTTGGGCAAGTCACTAGAAAGATCTGAATCTGTTTCCTCAAAACAGGGACAACAATACCTACCTCAAAATTTCTGTGATAACTAGACTCTTTGAAAGTACCCAAGCATTTTTAAAACCATGAAGGCATATACAAACCTAAGCTAGTATAATTATTAACATTAAAAGCCTGCATTTTTTAAAAAGTTTCAAATGTGCCTTAAAAAGAGTGGGTTGTGCTATAGAAGTTTGTTCATTCATTCATGCCTAAAGCATTATGCCAAAAGATGGATAGGGAAGATATTTAGAAAGAATTATAAGGTACCATCTCTGTTTTTCAAGAGTTTTCATGATAAAGAGATGAGACAACTAGATGTGAAAAAAAAAGCACTAGTAACATGCGTGCACGTGCTTGGGGTTAAATCCTGCAAACAGATGATAATTGATTCTTAGAGAATGGCAGACTCATTTGGCCTGAGTGGTCAGGCAAGACTTCCAGGAGAGAGCAGAACAGACCTTTTAGGAGAAGCGAGATTTGGACTGTGGGGGCAGAAAATGTAAAGGTATTGCAGGCAGGTGGAAGAGGAATAATGAAGACACAGAGAAATTGCTTCAAGAGTAGTAAGCCATTTACCTGTTTGTGGCACTGTCTTGAGTGTGCCCTCAAAAAAGACAAAACAGCAGAATTTGGTATCTGATAATGCTCTTCAAAATTATAGTTTTTTGTTTGCTTTTTTGTTTTTGTATTTTTAGTAGAGCTGGTTTCGACATGTTGGCCAGGCTGGTCTTGAACTCCTGACCTCAAGTGATCCACCCATCTCAGCCTCCCAAAGTACTGGGGTTACAGGCGTGAGCCACTGTGCCTGGCCTAGATTATAGTTATAACTGGACTCTCTTACCATCTCCTACACTAGCCATATTTTGTGACACAATAAAATTGCCTACAATATGTTTTACAAGTTTAGAATTGCCCAAACAGGGGCTGGGGTACACATTCTAGAGGAGGTAATGACAAACCCAGCCCATAGCTGTCAGCTTTTTGACCTTGTCTGTGGGGTCAGAGGGGTGATGAAACCTCAAGAGAAAGAACAGAAAAAAGCAAAAAAGCCATCAGAATTGGCACCTTTGGTCTTAGTTAGTCCAGCTGTGAAGCTATGAACATACATGGTGTTGTATGTATTCCGATACATAGAGAATCATTCTTCTGGCTTGACAGAAAGGAAAAGTCCAGAAGATTGTTTCATAGGTTCCTTTTCATTAAAACTGCCTTCTTTTCTTTTCTTTTTCTTTTTTTGAGACAGGTTCTCACTCTGTCACCCAGGCTAGAGTGCAGTGGTGTAATCACAGCTCACTGCAGTCCTAACCTCCCAGGCTCAAGCGATCCTCCCACTTCAGCCTCCCAAGTAGCTTAGATCACAGGCATGTGCCACCATGTCTGGCTATTTTTTGTATTTTTTGTAGAGATGGAGTTTTTCTATGTTGCCCAGGCTGGTCTTGAACTCCTGGACTTGAGCCATCTACCCACCTTGGCCTCCCAAAGTACTGGGATTATAGGCATGAGCCGCTGTGCCTGGCCCTAAACTGACATTTTTCTTAAAGGGAAACTTGTTTCTGATTTTCTGTTTCACTTTTCTGAAAGGAAGTTTGTATTATCTGTTTCCACAGTATGTAGAATTTCCCTGACTACATTTTTCAAGAGCTGCCTTAATGAATCTGCCTTATTCGTGTACCATCTGTGATGTAGTTTACTTAATAATTTTTCTTTACATATACTCACTGTTCTAAAACGTTAATGTATTAAAAAAGCAAACTTCAATCACTATTATTTACAGAAAATAGTATAATTAGCTAGTATCACTGGCTAGTGATAAGTAGAAGATAGCTACAAAGTTTATATGAAACTATGTAAATTGTATAAAATAAGTAACCATAAGATTTTAAAAGGTAAACTTGTGCCACCTTTTTCGAACATCAATTGTACAAAAAACAGTACTAGTTCCCAAAATTACTGGGTGTTTAATAATAGTTTCTGTTTTGTTTTAAAGACTAGAATTCATAGCAGCATGTAGTTTTCTAGCAGGTACTAACAAGGTAGAAGAAAGAGTGGTGAGTTTGATTTGCACTCAGACATCATCGTAAATTGGTTGTATGACATTGGGTAAGCTGCTTTCACCTGGCTACCTCATAGTGTTGATGCAAAGATTATGTGAAACATATGTGCTGTGTGAATTGTATGTATTTCTAAGATACTGTTTAAATGCCTTAAAATAGCCATAATCCAAGCCTTGTTAATAGCCATAATCAAAGATGATCAATCACCCTTATTTGCTTGTATCTGAAGCAAATACCAAGATATGCCTAACATACCCCACAATAGTCTGAATTTAAACTTAATGTGGTTGGTGATTGCCTCCTGTTTGGCTGTATGGTAGGTGTGTGTTTAATGTTTTAATCAACTGCCAAACTGCTTTCCAAAGCGCTCGTACCACTTTTAATTCCTATCTGTAGTATCTGAGTGTCCCAGTTGCTCTGCGTTCTCACCATCGCTTGGTATGCTCAATTAAAAAACTTTCTTTTTTAGCCATTCTAGTGTGTGTGAAGTGTTATCTCATTGTGGTTTTCATTTGTATTTCCCTAATGACTAATGTTATTGAGGATCTTCTTGTGTTTATTTACCATCTTTGCATTTATTTTCTTTGGTGAAATGTCTGTTCAATATTTTTGCTTTATTTAACTGGGTGGTGGGTTGTTCATCTTACTGAGTTTTGAGAGTTCTTTATATATTCTAGATACAAGTCCTATATTTCGCAAATATTTTCTCCCAGTCTATGACTCACCTTTTCATTTTTGTAAAAATGTCTTTTGAAGAGCAAACGTCATGAGTCTCACAGGCTGCATTCAAGGTGACACCCCAGGATCAGTTCTCATCTGGAGGCTGACTGGTGTTAGATCTGCTTCCAAGCTCACTCAGGTTGTTACCAGAATTTATTTCCTTGTGACTGTAAGAGCAAGGGACCAGCTTCTTACCAGTTGTCAGCCAGAGGCCACTCTCAGCTCCTAGAGGCCACCTGCGGGTCCTTGCCATGTGGCTTTCTCCATAGGCCCTTTCACAGCATGGCAGCTTGCTTCTTCAAAGCCGTCAGTGGAGAAAGAGAGTGAGTCTGCTAGCAAGATGGAGTCTTTTTCTTTTCTTTTTCTTTTTTTTTTTTTGAGATGAAGTTTCACTCTTGTTGCCCAGGCTGGAGTGTAGTGGCACAATCTTGCCTCACTGCAACCTCCACCTCCCGGGTTCAAGCGATTCTCCTGCCTCAGCCTCCCGAGTAGCTGGGATTACAGGCACGTGCCACCACACCTGGCTAATTTTTTTTGGTGTCTTTTTAGTAGACATGGGGTTTTACCATGTTGCTCAGGCTGGTCTGGAACTCCTGACCTGTGATCTGCCCACCTCGGTCTCCCAAAGTGCTGGAATTACAGGCGTAAGCTACGGTGCCTGGCCTATACTCTTTTTAAAAAAAGCTTTATTATAGAGTATTTCAAACACCCACAGAAGTAGAACAATATAATGAACCTTCCTGTGCCTGTCACTCATACCTAACAACCACCAACCCATGGCCAGTCTTGCACCATGCACACCTCCGTCTATTCCATCCTCTTGAATGGTTTGAAACGAAATCCCACACTTTGTAGCATTCTGTATATATGTCTGAGTAATAAGAACTCTGGTTTTTAAAAACATAACCACTGTATCACGATCTTACCTAAAAAAAATTAGCAGTAATTCTTTGATATCACCAGATATCCAGTGTTCCAATTTCTAATTATTTTATGTTATCATTTGTATATAGCTTGTTTGAACCCAATCCAAATAATGTCCATACTTTACAGTAGGCTGATAATGTCTTTTAAATCTCTTTCAATCTGCAGATCCCCCTTTGATTTCTCTTTCTCTCTCTCTCTTTTTTGCCTTGAAGTTTATTTGTTGAAGAGACGAAAGATCAGGGTGGCTTTTTGGCGGGGGAGGGGAGTCCTGGAGAGTTTCCCAAAGAATGGAAATTGCTGACACACCACGGTTTTTAAAAGTGAACTTATTGCAAAATCAACTTTGTAAATACTCTTCAGATTTACTAAATGGCCTTTTTCTCAGTAATTACATCTTCTTTCTTTACTTTTCTTTCCTCCCTGCTTCCTGAATTCATTTATCTTGATCACCTCTGAATAAATAACAAAAAGTTTTACAAAACTGCCATCTGCTTTCCCCTGGGGTTTATATCTTACAACAAATTTTACTCAATTGAATTCAAATTGAATAAGAACATTGAAAGCAAGGCTCCCTCATTAGACAGTTTGTTATTTCAAAGCATTTTCTATTTACTGTGCCTTATTTAGAATACAGTATAATCCTATGAAGGCAATTCTGTTTGTTCAAAATTGTGTATAATTGGAAATAATTGCAATTCCCAATCTGACATAAAGTCTCTCAACTTTTTTTATTAGAGAAATTTAATTTATTAGAAACATTGTACCATCTGAGTCTATTAATGTAACATTTCTTTATGTTCCAAATTAATGAGGTTGCATTGCATCAAGAAATAATCACAATTTTCAATCTAAGTCTTAAAGATCATTCAACAGAAATCGGCATTGATTTCTGTCTTTTTAAAAAATTTATTTTATAACATCAACGTAATACATGCATATATATATATACGTTTATATATATATATATACGTTTATACGTTTATATATATATATATATATATTTTTGTGTATGTGTTTATCTCTGCCACCCAGGCTAGAGTACAGTGGCGCGATCTCGGCTCACTGCAACCTCCGCCTCTCGGGTTCAAGCTATTCTACTGCCTCAGCCTTCTGAGTAGCTGAGATTACAGGTGCCTCCACCACACCTGGCTAATTTATGTGTTTTTAGTAGGAACGGGGTTTCACTATGTTGGCCAGGCTGGTCTGGAACTCCTACCCTCAAGTGATCTGCCTGCCTCAGCCTCCCAAAGTGCAAGGATTACAGCCTTGAGCCACCACACCTGGCTATTTGTAAAAGTCAGTAGTATCCTTAGCTTATATATTAAAAAAAAAAAACTAGCCGTCCCTTTCCCTGCCTTCTTCATCCCTGATTCTTATTCCCTGTGGGCACTCAACACTTGACAATCAACTTTCTAAAATGTTGTTGACTTTCTTATCCATTGTCATTGCTTTTCTTGTTTTCTCCGCCCTTGGGGGATTATATCTTTTTTTTTTTTGAGACGGAGTTTCACTCATGTTACCCAGGCTGGAGTGCAATGGCGCGATCTCGGCTCACCGCAACCTCCACCTCCTGGGTTCAGGCAATTCTCCTGCCTCAGCCTCCTGAGTAGCTGGGATTACAGGCACGCGCCACCATGCCCAGCTGATTTTTTGTATTTTTAGTAGAGATGGGGTTTCACCATGTTGACCAGGATGGTCTCGATCTCTTGACCTCGTGATCCACCCGCCTCGGCCTCCCAAAGTGCTGGGATTACAGGCTTGAGCCACCGCGCCCGGCGGGGGGTGATATCTTTTTAACTTAACTTTTAACTTTATCTTTTAACTCTTAGTTCTTTAACTTTTAACTCTTAGTAATTGTGGTGGTGTTTCTAGGAGGAAGTAGAGATAATGTGTGTGTTCAGTTAACCATATTTAACTGATAGTCCTTGTACTTCTTTTTAAAGAACACTATTAGCTCAGCCTATAATCCCAGCACTTTGGGAGGCCAAGGTGGGTGGATCACGAAGTCAGGAGTTTGGGACCAGCCTGGCCACCATGGCGAAATCCTGTTTTTACCAAAAATACAAAAATTAGCCGGGTGTGGGGGTGGGCGCCAGTAATCCTAGCTACTGGAGAGGCTGAGGCAGGAGAATTGCTTGAACCTGGGAGGTGGAGGATTCAGTGAGCCCAGATCGCGCCACTGCACTCTAGCCTGGGTGACATAGCAAGACTCTGTCTCAATAAATAAATAAATAAATAAAAATAGAACACTATTATGGCCACTTATGTCTCTTTCCTTCTCACTGCAAGAATAAAATGTCTCTGTTGTTTGTAGCTATGGAGAAAATGTGATAAGGGTGCTTAAAATGAGTGCATTTTGATATGAGAAACGACTTCTTTCTCCTCTCATCCATTTTTGGATCCTCTTCTTGGATTTTCTAGTTCCTTTATGGAGAGTCTAGAAAGGTGTCAAGATTGGCAAAGTATATAGAATTTTCTATATAAATGTAGCAGGGATCTTCCAGACTATCAGGATGGGGGTATAACAGAGCTGCAACCAGCTGGGCGCGGTGGCTCCCGCCTGTAATCCTAGCACTTTGGGAGGCCGAGGCGGGTGGACTGCCTGAGCTCGGGAGTTCACAACCAGCCTGGGGAACATGGTGAAACCCAGTCTCTACTAAAAATACAGAATTAGTAGAGTATGGCGGCTTGTGCTTGTAATCCCAGCTACTCAGGAGGCTGAGACAGGAGAATCGTTTGAACCCAGGAGGCGGAAGTTGCAGTGCGCCGAGATCACACCACTGCACTCCAGCCTGGGTAACAGAGCGAGACTCCATCTCAAAAAAACAATAGAGCTGCAACCTCCTTCCTCCAACCAGTTAAAAAGAATAATTTTGTGTGACTGTTTTGTCTTGTTCCTCCTTCAGAAGGCCTATTTCAAATTGATGGAACTCCATACCCAGTTTCCCTCGGTGACTTGAAGGGGATGGGTCTTTGGCCTGGCTGAGCAATAGTGTTATCTTGCTGTCTCCTGGCTCCCAGGGGTGCTGTACTGAGGTGTGTCCCTCTTCCTCTTGGAAGCACTTTTTAGAGCACTGCATGCCACTGTCTGTGTAACCTCTTCACTTCTGACCTTTCTTCCTGGGAAGGACTGTAGTGTTGGCTGCTCATCTTCAGCCCTGAGCGCCACTTCTACATGCGACATTAAACCCTGACTCTCCTCCCTTTGAGGCATGTGTCCCTCATCTCTTTATTTTTTGAGACGGAGTTTCACTCTTGTTGCCCAGGCTGGAGTGCAATGACACGATCTCAGCTCACAGCAACCTTCACCTCCCAGGTGCAAGCAATTCTCCTGCCTCAGCCTCCCAAGTAGCTGGGATTACAGGCATGCACCACCATGCCTGGCTAATTTTGTATTTTTAGTAGAGACACGGTTTCTCCATGTTGGTCAGGCTGGTCTCGAACTCCCGACCTCAGGTGATCTGCCTGCCTCAGCCTCCCAAAGTGCTGGGATTACAGGCATGAGCCACTGTACCCGGCCCCTCATCTCTTATTATACCAAAGAGGTTAGGGAGAGGCCTTACAGTGGTATGCTAGTCAAGGTTTAACAGCTGATCCTCCAGCGGGAAATAAACCCTGATTTGTAGCATTTGCCAATTTCTGTTGTGTAAGTACTCTACCATGGCTGACTTCAGGCTACTGACATGACTTGGAGTTGGGAAGAAAGGTATAAGGTGGGCCATGTGAGCAGATTCTAGTACATCACTGCCTTTGGGAACAGGGACTTGGGATCTTCATTCAGGACTGCCAGACTCAAGGATGAAGTTATTTGTCTTTTCCATGGAGCTCCTCAGTTACTCCTGCCTATGTGTTCCAGCTGGACTGACTGCTGGCTCAGGCACCTAGACTCCACCCTGGGTCAAGAGAACTGCCCAGTGCTCTGTGTTTGTCTCTTCTGTTGGCTAAAAATGTGTGTTCCCTCTGTTGATCTTAATTTTGTTATGTTTTTGCTCTGCTTTGATGTCTTCAGAAGAACCTCTTTTTAGAATCAATTTCATGCACTGATGTGAAACTGATGGTATGTAGAGATTGTGTCTTATCCAGAAAGTTTCTTATGACTGATGGACGGCAACTGGGATTCCTCATTCTGCAGTTCTGTTAACAGTGTTTTCTTTCTCCCACAGTGGACAGGCCTGTCAGAGTATACGCCGATGGAATATTTGACCTCTTCCACTCGGGTCATGCAAGGGCCCTTATGCAAGCAAAAACACTGTTTCCCAACAGCTATTTGTTGGTAGGAGGTAAGAAGTGCATTTTTTTTTTTTTTTTGTCTAGAAAACTCTTATAATATGCTTTCTGAAAAGGATCCCTTTCACAGTTCCATCAGAAAAATCTGACATTGTTAATGCTTCCAATTCAGCCCACACTGGCTCACTTGTTCACTGCCTGAAATTTAAAATGACGTTTGAAAAACCATAGGGGAAGTTGCATCATGGGATTGTAATACTCTGATCCTGAGAGAGAGATGGACTGATAGTACCACCAAGGGTAAATTCTTCATGTTTTCCATCAGCGCCTTTCTCCTAGTGTTTAAGGCTTGATCCAATTTATGTTTCTAAAATTTTCTAGTGGGATAAGAGAAGCAATATTATTCTGATTTCAGATCTCAAAGAACTGAAGGGAGTTAGGATGATGAAGAGCAAACAAGGTCATTATCTATTTCTTTTGTGTGACCCACAGCACTTAGGACAATGTTGTGCTAACACTAGTGGCTTGTAACAGCCCCACTTAGTTGAATTGATGGCAGTGTGTTAAAGACGTGGAGATTTATATACCCAGGTAATCTTGATTCACAACGAAGGGACGAACTTACTCACTAAGTCTGTGGAAAGAGAAAGATCGTTAGATGTGGACTGAAATTTTCCTCCACCAGGAGGTCTAACTATTTAAGTTTGGGTAAAGGGACAGTACCTGACGAGGAAGGCCTGTATAGCTTCTGGAAGGAGCATATTCATTCACAGTAATCAGGTTTTGTGGCATATAAACTAGGTACCATCAAGCCTTACACCTCTACTGGGAGAAAAAAAAAGTACTGGTAAGAGACTACATAACTGTTTTTTAAAGCATTTTGTTACTTCTGCAATTAAAAACTACTTGTTGTTTGTTTGTTTCTTTGTTTGAGACGGAATCTTGCTTTGTCACCCAGGTTGGAATGCAGTGGTGCCATCTCGGCTTACTGCAACCTCCGCCTCCCGGGTTCAAGGCATTCTCCTGCCTCAGCCTCCTTAGTAGCTGGGATTACAGGCACGTGCCACCACACCCAGCTAATTTTTTTTTTTTGGTATTTTTAGTAGAGACAGGGTTTCACCATGTTGGCCAGGCTGGTCTTGAACTCCTGACCTCAGGTGATCCACCCCGCCTTGGCCTCCCAAAGTGTTGGGATTATAGGCGTGAGCCACCATGCCCAGCCAAAAACCACTTGTTGGACATTTAAGAGGAGCTATTCTGCAGATTTGGTCACCAAGGGTGGTGACCACGGGACCATTGAATGAAGTTCTTTCCAGAAGGAAGAAATGGTAAAAGCCAAGGGTTACTGGGCAAGTCATACAGAGGGAACCCAAAACAGGCAGGGAACCCAGCCCTTGCTCACTTCCGTTTAGCCTGAAAACCATTTATTGAGAGAGCACTACCACCTGGAGTCTTCTCCTAGGCTACTGGGGCCCTAGAGGGACCCGCTGCAGTGTTTCAGCTTCAGCCATTTGGGTAGCCTAAGTTTAGAGGTGCTTAGATCACAGTTAACAGGAACACTAGCTGGTGGCCCTGGGTTATCACATCAAAGGTAAGATCAAAGGAAATGTGCAGCTTTCAGCATATTCTTGTAAATTGGAGAAGGCAGACAGTTAATAGCAGCAGCTCTCAAGGTCATTAGGCAACTATGATTTCAGTGATTCACTGAATGATTTCTTCATCTAACAACTTTTTTTTTTTTTTTTTTTTTTTTGAGATGGAGTCTTGCTCTGTTGCCCAGGCTGGAGTGCAGGGTGAAATCTCAGCTCACTGCAGCCTCCACCTCCTGGGTGCCAGCGATTCTCCTGCCTCAGCCTCTTGGGTAGCTGGAATTACAGGCACATGCCACCACATCCAGCTAATTTTTCATATTTTTAGTAGAGACAGGGTTTCACCATGTTGACCAAGCTGGTCTTGAACTCCTGACCTCAGGTGGTCCGCCCACCTCAGCCTCCCAAAGTGCTAGAATTACAGGTGTGAGTCACTGTGCATGGCCCCTTCATCTAACAACTCTGTTGAACTCTATGTGCCAGACATTTTTCTGTACACTGGAAATGCAGCCATGAACAAAACAGACCATCTATGTCCTCAGAGAACTTAGAGTCTGAGGGAGAGGCAGTCACTGCCCACTAAAGTAAATATGTAGTAGTGTACCATGAAGAAAGATAGGATAAGAGAAAAGAGTGACTGGGTGGAGGAAGGAGGGATGTTTTAGGTAGAAAGGTCAGGAAAGACCTCTCTGAGGAGGTGATGTTTGTGCAGAGACCTGAATGAAATAAAAGCACTCAAAAGCCAGAACATCCAATCTTCCCTGTGCAAGGTTCTCACCAGTCAAGACGACAGTGTGGGACAAGCAGATAAGACACGGAGACTCCAGTGACATGTTAGTTTTTTGATTTATGCATCTTAAGGAGGCTTTCCATAAAATTACAGATTATTTCATACTCAGATAAATTAATACGGGCAGAAGTTTGGAGCAAAGAAATAAAGCAAAAAGAAGGAGAAAATTTCCAATAAGAAATCCTGGACTTTTTTAGCAGCTATAGCAAAGAGGGCCACACAGTCATTCTATAACTCTCAAACTCTAGAAACTGAATTGTGCCATCCGGAAGAACTATTTTTCCTGCCTGAGTTCTGAGATAACTGTTTCAGAGGGCCACTGTGTAAGGGGCATTGAATAATCCAAAGAACAATGTCCTCTCTACCAGGTTTACAAAGAAATTCAGATACTCCCTCAATGGTTATTACATGGGTTGTGGAAGCCAAGGGCATATTAAACTACTAGGATGACCACGAGACCATATCCTTTAGTAAGTGACAGGGATTGGAGTACAGATAGAAATAAAACAATACAACACGAAGCTATAAAGAAATAGTACCTAGACTTCTAGGGAACAGTGACAGAGTAAGAGTGAAGGCTGGACATGGTGGTGCACGTCTTTAGTGCCAGCCACCCAGGAGACTGAGGCAAGAGGATCATCTGGGCCCAGGAGTTTAAGGGTATAGTGAGCTGTGTGTAGTTACTGCACTCCAGCCTGCACAACACAATGAGACTTCATCTCTACAACAAACAAACAAGAAAAACACCAACCATGGGCAATAGAAACAATAATAAATAATTTCAGTGTGTTCTTTTCTCTATAGATTTCTTATTCTTATTATCTCATATAAAATAACTGAATGGTAATATTATGAAATATCTTCTAACCACTCTATTAATAAAATTCAGTGACATCCTGGCTGGGTGCAGTGGCTCACACCTGTAATCCCTGCACTTTGGTAAGCTGAGGTGGGTGGATTGTCTGAGGTCAGGAGTTCAAGATCAGCTTGGCCAAAGTCACGAAAACCTGTCTCTACTAAAAATACAACAAAAAATTAGCTGGCCATGGTCGTGCACGCCTGTAGTCCCAGCTACTCGGGAGGCTGAGGCAGAAGGATTGCTTGAACCTGGGAGGTAGAGGTTGCAGTGAGCTGAGATCGTGCCACTTCACTCCACCCTGGGTGACAGAGCAAGACTCCGTCTCAAATAAATAAATAAATAAATAAATATAATAAGTAAGTAAATAAAATTTAGATATCTGCTTCTTAAGTCGTTATAAAATATGTAATTTCTGGAAGACTGTAAGTATCAATCTTTTAAAAATTAATAAACTTTTTAAGAGAAGTTTTAGGTTCACAGCAAAACTGAATGGAAAGTACAGCAAATTCCTGTTTACTCCTTTCCTGCACAGGCATAACCTCCCCTACTGAGAACATCCTGCCGCAGCCTGAGGCATTTGTTATAATCTATGAACCTACACTGACACATCATTATCACCTAAAGTCCAGAGTTTACATTAGGGTTCATTCTTAATGTTATACCTTCTATGGGTTTGCATAAAATTATATATTGTCCAAACTCATAGATGTACATAGTATAATGACAGGTATCCATAATAATAGTATCATACAGATACTATTTTTACTGCCCTAAATCCTCTATGCTCAACCTGTTCATCTCTTCCTCCCTGTAACCCCTGAAAATGATTGTTCTTTTTAGTATAGTTTTACTTTTCCTAGAACATCATATAATTAGAATCATACAGCATGTAGCTTTTTCAGACTGGCTTCTTTTACTTCGTAATGTTCCATTTAAGGTTCCTCAATGTCTTTTCATGGCTTGCTAGATTACATCTTTTTTTTTTTTGATTATATCTTTTTGGTGCTCAATAATATTCCATTGTTTGGATATACCACAGTTTATCCATTCATCTGCCAGAGGATATCTTGGTTGCTTCAACATGTTGGCAATCATGAATGAACTTGCTATAAACATCTGTGTGCAGGTTTTTTTATGGATATACATTTTCAATTAATTTGGTTAAATACCAAGGAGTGTGATTGCTAGATTGCATGGTAGGAAGAAGTTTAGTTTTGTAAGAAACTGCCAAACTGTTTTCCAAAGTAGCTGTACCAGGAGGAGGTATAGCTCAGAGGTAGAGCATTGGACTGTAGATCAAAGTGGCTGTACCATTTTGCATTCTCACCAGCAATAAATGAGAGCTCCTGTTGATTCATATCCTTGCCAACATTTGGTGGTATCAGTCTAAACCATTGATACCACCAAATGCTGGCAAGATTTTGCCATTCTAATAGGTGTAGAGTGGGTTGTTTTAATTTTCAATTTCCTGCTGACATACGATATTGAACATTTTTCATACGCTCCCTTGCTACCTGTAGATCTTCTTTGGAGAGGTACCTGTTAAATTCTTTAGTCGATTTTTAAAAATCAGCTGCTTGTTTCTTATTGTTGAGTTTTAGAGTTCTTTGTATATTTTGGGTAAAGTCCTTTATCAGTTGTATAATTTTCAAATCTTTTCTCCGAGTCTGTGTCCTGTTTTTTTTTTTTTTTTTTTTTTTTTTGAGACAAAGTTTTGCTCTGTTGCCCAGGCTGGAATACAGTGGCACAATCTTGGCTTACTGCAACCTCTGCCTCCAGGAGTGACTCTCATGCCTCAGCCTCCCAAGTAATTGG